AAAAAAAAAAAAAAAAAAAAAAAAAAAAAAATGAAATCTTGATTCTTTTTTCTTACCCATAAATCCTTCTGATCAGTTTCACTCTCCTACTAAACACCTTCCTTGGAGGATTCTAATCAGGACATAGACTGAAACCCAAGCCCTTCAATTCTTTAAGGAAACACGTAGACAGTGCTCCTGTGTGTCATGTACTACTCTGAGCACGTCACAGTATTCACTCACTTCCTCTGGGAACTCTTTGGGCTGGCATTCCCGACTTGCCTTCCGCCTTTTCTTCCAGCCTTTCCCACTCTCCAGCAGGCCTGGAACTCGGCCTCCCCACCCTACTCAGGTGTCTGTAACAGACTCAAAGGCACCTCTCGTCCTGTGTTCGTTGCTCTCTGAGACACAGTCCCCACCTCTGCCCCCATCACGTCCCCAAAACCCACTTGTCAAAGGCCAAGGCTAACTCAAATCCTACCTCCCCAAAGCCTCTGGTCAGAGCTATTCCCTGTGGTACAGGAGGGACAGGCCACTTCTGAAGGACACAGTCTCCTGTAGGAACTAAACCGACTGGCACTGGCACCACCCTTCACTACGTTCCTCCCCCCAGACCGCGAGGCTCAGTGCTGTCCTGCATCACACGCTGTTCAACATGTCAATGCCATGAAATACATTCATTTCATCTATAAAATAAAGACAGCCTCTAGTTAAAGAGCAGTTTTCAGCACTTACTATGCACAGAACACCACAGAGTGCTCCACGTCATTTGACTATTACCAAAATTGTGTACAAATGACCACATTATAAAATAATTACCATTTACTGAACATTTCCTATGTGCCAAGTACTGTGATAAACACTCCACAAACCTTAGAAGTTAGCATATTCCCTTCTAAAATTATCTCTTAAAAGAAAGACTCGCCTTATATTCAAGTCATTATAATGTCTCATACTATGGAGGATTCTCCATTTTTTGAAGAACAATCTGCTGTTTGAGGAAGATACATTAGCCTAAACTAATCAATCATGCTAGTTTTATATGTTTACAGAAATCATCTGATAGAAAAAATTTTCCAGTGGCATCAGAGATGGATTCCAAAAGCTCTGCAGACTCCAGTCAAGGTGGCAGAACAGACGGTCCCCAGCGTCACCCTCTCCCACAAATCAACCAATTTACAACTATAAAAGAGCAACGACAGCCAAGCTGGGGCTGCTAGAACTCAGGGGAAGAGGAGGAGAGACCTAAGGAGTGAATGAAGGTGGGAGAAGCCACGATGAAAGAAAAAACCGCTCCAACCATTTCGAATCCTGGCCGCTTCCAGGCTGGAGCTGGTGAGTGCACGGGGCAGGAGGCGGCAACAGCCGCAGCTGTGCTCTGCAGATGGAGTTGCTTAGAGGCAGCAGGGGACAAGAGGGCCTCGGGCCCCCCTGGCCAGCAAGACCACTAACAGGGTCCCTGTGGACCCACACAGGAGGGAGGGGCCACAGACAACTGAGAAAAGGAGCCACCCAAAGGCTGCTGAGTCATCACAAGGGACTGGTGAACAGCCCATCCCATGGGAAGTGTTTGGAGCACGGGCAGTAGGGGAGACGGGCCCGCCGGGGGAACACTGGGGCACAGCATGGACAGCTGATCTGCCCCCCAATCAGCATAGGCCCACTCTGTGTAGACTGGTCAGGAATATAGAACTGTAGGGGGTGCAACTTGCTGAAAAGACTCAGGTCCAGACGAGTTTCCACACAACCCAGGTGTATCAGACTTCACAAAACCTGGAAGTGCTTACAAGGTCAACGATTAAAACCTGAGCTGCACAAAAAGCCTTCCCCAGGGAATCAGCAGCAAAGCAGCAATTTAGCTCAACCACAGGGCTCAAGTGCTGGTCCCCACAGGAAGTTCCCCCATTTTAGAAGTAAGCAAAGGATGACAAACTAGTTCCAGTGCAGAATTTAAGTGGTGGAAACAGCAAATAATACAACACAGAACTGAAAGAAAAAACAAAAAATCCACAGATCATAGACAAAGTTCTGATATTAACCAGTAAAGGTCTAACACCACCAAAGAACACCTATAAAACCTAAAAGGACCGGAAGAGCCCCAGGCTCCCAAGCCAGGGTGGGGGGCGCTGAGGGCTTCAGCCACGCCCCCCCAAAGTCCACATCCAGCCCAGCCATGACCGAGCTGCCACCAGAAGCCCCCTGGGCTCCCCTGCCAGAATGAGGGGGGTGCCAGGGGCCTTGACCACACCCTTCCCTCCTTCCTCCTCCTCTCACCCTATCCCGCTCCCCTTTCCCCTCTCCTCCTCTCTCCCAACTGCTCCACGTGTTAGAATGTAAAAAAAAAATAACAATAATAAATAAATATTTTTTTTTAAAAAAAGCTCTGAATAGCAAACATCTCCAAGGAGGCAAAGATAATGTGTTCTGGAAAACTGTCTGGAGAGACTCAAAAAGTGACTCTAAATAAATAAATAAATAAATAACAAAAACAACAACAACAAAAGTGACCCTAGTGAGGACAAACACGCTGGGGTCAGAGACACCAATCCAGAATTTGAGCCAAAGTGTTTTGTGAAATGTGAAAGAAGAAATATTACAGTAATATATTCCATGTTCATATTTCAGATCACATTATATAACTAAGCTAGGCATATATGTATATATAATATGCCATTTCTGGCACTTAAATATTACATACCAAATTGACCCCAAAAAGGGATTTTTTTTTTTTAAATCTTCTCCTTGGAAAAATTGAGTCTGGCCTTTCGTGAGGGTCACCTTGGGTATGAGCATAGGTGAAAACCCTCACAACCACCCAGGGTTGTAGATTTCCTCTTCAACTTATAGACGAAGGAATGGGACTTAGAAGTTAAGAAACTTGCCAAAGGCAGAGAGCCACTAAGTGCCAAGCATCAGGACTGACCCCACACCCACCCCACTCTGGGTCTGTTCTCAACCACAGCCACCTCGGTGGGAGGCACCCCCTTGTCTTTGCCACCGGAAGGAGCAACAAAATCCAAACTGTATTTCCTCCTCTGGCAGCTCAGAGTCAGAAGCACGCACTTTCCTTAAGAATCAAGCCCATGTGGAGAAGCTCCTGTGCCGAGACCAGGCCTGGATAGTTGTGTGCTCTTGAGAAGCAAGTCCTCTTACAGCACCCACAACTTCAGCAGGGGCTGAAACAGCGACACTTGAAAGCTCACCGAAGAAACCCTCTCATGCCTTTTAAGAACCTTCAATTTCATGCAACCTTCACACCATATCAAGAGATATAGATGAGCATACTAGAAAGAGATAAGGGGTTGAAAAATGGTCCTCACCTTATGTTCTATTTTGACATAAAACTAGAGAAATTCAGCAGCCCGAGAGACTATCTCTATCTCCTGTATTTGACCTGAATCTCAGAGCAGCAGCTGACCATAAAACACATACCGCCTTTTGGGTTTGTTCCCAAATTCTCAGCTAGAAAATCAACATCATAATGGCATGAAATGTGTCAATCCCAGAACACAAAATATCAAGGATGGGTATTGGGAATAATGACTCTTTTAGTTTTAGGGTAGTTGACTTAAACATTATAGCAATAAGTGTAAACTTTCAAAGACAATGTTATACCTTGGGGTTCTTCCCCGGGATAGGGACTGTCTGTGGCACAGAGCTCCAGCAGGCACGGATGCCTGGGGAGAGCCCCCAGCTGCACTCACAGCCCCTGTGGACCAACCATTTCATCTCTTGAGGCTTATTCAGCTGCGGAAATAGTACCTGTGGGGATTTCTCTTTTTTTAAGTGAAGTTGTTGAAAGGGCTAAATGTAAATGAAAGGTCTTTTTTTAGGTGATTTCTTTAAGCTTTTACTCAATTATATATGAGAACAAGAATATAAGCTCTCATTTAATAAGATGGTAAAACAAAATAAAATAGTATTAGCAGTCCAGAAAGTCTATTTTTGCTCAAAATTGTAACACCTCTAAAACATAGCATGGTCACAGTGGTTTGATGAGAACTGTATTGGGGATGTTTCAAGGAACATGTTCCCTATCACATAAAACAACTCTGACTTTTAAGATACAAAATGTCCACACCTTCCAGTGCCTTTTTCTTGCCCTGATCTTCCAGAGAAGCTGGAAGACACTGCAGACTTGAGAGTCGACGTCCTCCACTCACCTGAATGTGCAGGGCGCCCTCTACTGCTTCCTCAATGTTGGAACAGCCGCTGATGAGTGACAGCTGCTCTTCCACACTCAGAGAGCCTTTCAGAGAACCTGACTGCTCCAGCAACTTCATCTCCTTCCTGGAAAGTAGAGAGTGATCACCGTGAGTATGCAAACACAAATCTGAAGACAAAGCTCAGTGTCACTCATCATCAGGGAAATGCAAATCTAAACCACCTCACACTCATCAGGATGGCAACTATCAAAAAAATAGCGAATAGCGAGTCTTGGCAAGGATGTGGAGAAAATGGAACTGCTGTGCACTGCTGGCGAGATGATAAAACGGTGCAATTGCTATGAAAAACAGTATTTTAAACAATTAAAAACAGAATTACAACATGATCCAGCAATTTTACTTCTGCATACTCAAAACAAGTGAAAGCAGTCTCAAAAAGATGTTTGTCCACCCATGTGCACAGCAGCTCTATTCACAATAACCAAGAGGTGGAAGCAACCAAGCGTCCATTAACCGATGAACAGAAAACAAAACGTTGTGTGTACACTCAATGGACTATTACACAACCTTAGAGGAAGAAAATCCTGTCACATGCTAACACATGATAAGTGAAATAAGCCAGACACAACAAATACTGTCTGATTCTACTCAGAAACTAGAATGCTGGTTGCCAGGGGCTGTGGAGCACAGGGAATGGGAAGCTGGTGTTTAATGAGGACAGAGGTTCACTTTGGGAAGATGAAAAAGTTCCAGAGATGGGTGGTGGTGATGGCTGCAAAACAACGTGAATCTGCTTAATGCCACCAAACTGTACAGTGAAAAATGGTTAAGATAATAATATTTTGTTATACATACTTTACCACAACTAACACATTTTTTAATTCACACTTTAAAAAATAAAGAATGAAAGAAGGACTGTGGAAGTGGGGAGGGGACTGAAAAGCAGTGGATCTCCACCTCCTCCTGGGCTGCTGCCCTGGGGTGCAGGGCTGAGAGAGGACGTGTGATGATCAGGGCTGGCTTCCTGCTGCCTCCACGGTGCAGTCACCCAGCCCCCTCCGCAGAGCCCATGCTGGATTTTGTGCACTGCTGTCACCGTCTTAAAATTCTTGATAAATTTTGAACAAGGGGCTCCCCATTTTCATTTGCACTGGGCCTTACAAATTATGTAGCCAGCGATGCTACATTTCAAGGTTGCCCAAGGAACAACATCCATGCTTTCCAAAGAACTCTGGGGACTTTTTGCCATTGAGTCAAATAATTTTTAGGTCATTTCACAGCATGGTTTTTCTCTTTCAGCTATCAATGCCCTTCAGTGAAGAGCTGCCAGGACCACAGCTGCAGCAGGGCAAGCCTGGCGTAGCAGCAGGGAGAGCACAGGGCCCAGCGTCACAGCAGGGAGAGCATGGGGCCCGTTGTCACAGCGGGGACAGCATGGGGACTGACACAGACCAGGGAGAGGCTGCAGAAAGCGCTGACCCCAGGACTTGGGGCTCTGAGGAAGTGGGGTTCCCTAGACTGGATGCTGTCAGAAAGCGAGGGCAATCTGAAAATCGGGTATCTCAATCAATCTCATCTATATGGAGGAGAGACTAGACTGAAAATGGAGACTAATGGGAAAAGAAGTAGCAGTCGCTCACCCTAGCCAAGGGACGGTGTTCAGTAGCTTTGTCTGCACCGTGCCCTTGTTTTTGCCTGTACGTAGACAGATCCGGGAAGCAGCCTTGCTTGGCCTCATTCTGAGGCTGGTGGTCTGTGAGGCTGCTTCAGTCCAAGGGGACAAGGCCACGGCCAGCCGCCAGGGCCGGCCAGATGCGAGCATCAAGGCTGCTCTTTGGTTTTGTTTGTTTCTCCTCTTTCTTAATGCTGTGCGTTTTTCTTAAAGCTGTGTATTTGGTTTTAGGTATAAAAGGAAGAAAAGAAACTTTCTTGCTGCTGTTACTAAAAAAAAACCAAAAAAACAAAAAAAACAAAGATAGGCTGAAATACAAATAGATTTCTATATTCCCTTTAACAAAAAGCAGCTTCATGGAAAAGACCATGAGTCCCCCACATATGGGACTTGGGTTTCTGCTTTTTTTAAAGGGAGGAGGAGAATGTCTGAGTTTTTCTCATATAAGTAATTTGAAGGATCTGCAACACATCGACTTAAAAAATCTACCTTAAAATAGGGTCAGAAAATGGCTATCTTATTTTGGAGGGTCACAAGGACAAACACACAGAAGTCCCTCCTCGGACTTCATCACACACAAAACCACTCACTGTTGGGTATTGGACATTTCTGACCATCTCCCCCAGTGAGGACGCATTTTAAAATTTTTATACAGAAAAGATTCCTTGAAGTAGAGGCTTATAAAGTTACTGGAAAATGTTCAAAACACAGTGTGTGTCTTCACCAGCTCATCAGGAAGTTTATATTTGCTGTACAGGGCACTATATGATGTCACACCAAGAGAGTGGGAATTTAAGATTTATAAGTTTAATAGCCAAAATCAAGAAAGAACCAGTTCACAGTTAAGTGCCAGCAAATAGATATTTGAAGCATCATTAAGGGAAGTTTACCAAAAACCACCATAAAAAAAGTCCCTGCAGGGCCGGCCCGGTGGCGCACTGGATAGTGCGCCGCTTGGGAAGCGCGGCGGCGCTCCCACCCGAGGGTTCGGATCCCACATACAGACCGGTTCCCGCTCACTGGCTGAGCGAGGTGCGGGGGCAACACCAAGGGTTGTGATCCCGTTGCCGGTCCCCGGTCCGGTACGGGGGCAACACTGAGGGTTGCGATCCGTTGCCGGACATGGAAAAAGACAAAAAGACAAAAAAAAAAAAGAAAAGTCCCTGCAAAGAGAAAAGGAACAGCACAAAGTCTGGGTTCCTGTGGTTTCACACTGGTGACGTCCTGCCAGCCTCCAGGACCCACAGTGCACCACCCACACCACCACCACGAGGACAGCCCACGGAGTCCCAGCACATTTGCTTTTCCTCTCACAGTAAGTTTTTGATCCATCTCTCAAAAACTTTTAGTTACATAACTCTGTAAATATACTAAAAACCACTGAATTGTATACTTGAAATGAGTCAATTGTATGATGTGTAAACTGTATCTCAACAGAGCTGTTGAATTAGTTTCCTGTTGCTGCTGTCACAAATTACCATAACTTCAGCGGCTGAAACAATACAAGTTTAGCATCTTATCATTCTGAGGTCAGAAATCCCCACTAGGCTAACGTCAAGGTGTGGACAGGGCTGCTCCCCTGTGGGGCTCCCAGGAGGATCTGCTGCTGCCTTTCCCAGCTGCTAGAGCTGCCTGCGTCCACCCACGGGGCACAGCCTCTTCCATCTTTAGGGTCAGCATTCTCCACCTGGGCCTCTGCTTCTGTGCTCACGTCCCCTCCTTTGACTCCCCTGCCACCCTTTTTGTCTTGTAAGGACCCCTGTGATTACACTGGACAATCTCCCCATTTGCCATCCTTAATTGAATCACATCTTTGGGGGAGCCATTATTCTGCCTACCACACCAATGAAAAACAAAAGCAAAAAAAAGACTTTGAGAACAAAGAGAATATGTAATGTGTATAGGATTCCTATAAAATTACTGTCCAGATTATGCATATATAATAAGACCTACCTAACAAGGCCTCCTCAAAGAGGTAATTAGATTATGAATGGCTTTTTGTGTTCTGCAGATATTATCCCACCACATCCTGATTGCCACCGGCTGTTGAGGAATTTGTTGTCAATCTGTCATTCCTTTAAAGTGATCTGTCTTTGCTCTCTAGCTGCTTCTAAAACTTTTCTCTTGTTCCTTCGTGTTTGATAGTTTCACTATGTTGTGTCTGGGTATAGATATACTTTTCATTTATCCTGCTTGGGACACTTCGTTCTTCTAAAATCTGAGGATTCATGTCTTTAATTGACATGAACTTGCAATCACTGTATCTTCATAAATTCCTTCTTTCCCTACTCTAAGTCTTTCAGAACCCTATTGACATGTATGTTAGGCATTCTCTCTGTCCTCCAAATTTCTTAACCACTGTTTCACATTTCTATTTCTTCACCTCTCTGAATTACACTCTAAACTATATCCTCAGATCTGACTTGCAGTTCACAATGCTCATAATGCCTGTTTCTCACGTCTTTTGTGACGTGGTTGTGAGTGGATGCTCCCTGAACTCTACCTGTGGGAATTCTACGAGTCTTCAGCGTAAGGCATATTACTCTGGAGATGACATGCCTTTTGTTTCTGTCAGGCACTTGGGGCACTACCAACCAAGGAACCAACATGAATTCTTGGCTTGGAGTTTTTCGAACCATATAGGCAATGTGAATTTGGGCTCCAAAACTTTGCAGATTGCTTTATGGTTATAAATTCCCAGAGAAACTCTTTCTCCCCTCCACTTAAGGATGCATTATTTTTGTCCTAGTTCTCCTTTTCTCCAATGACAGAGCCCTTTGGGAATCCTAGCTTCATTGGGGGTGTCCAGTTTGATTCCCCATGTTGCACAGACTGAGGTTGGCTGCTAGAACCAAAGCTCCAGCTCAGCCAGATGGGCAAATCCCCTCAGAGCAGCCATGGCTGCAGCTCTCAAGTACCTCCTGGGATGGGTGCTCCCAAATTTGGCCCCTGAGAGGTTCCCTTTCTTTCTTGCCAACACAGCCATACACTACTTTTTTTTTTCCTTTTTGTCTTTTTTCGTGACCGGTAACGGGGTCGCAACCCTCGGTGTCGGGCCCGTACCGTGACCGGCAATGGAATCGCAACCCTCGGTGTCGTGCCCGCACCGCGCTCAACCAGTGAGCAGACCGGTCTCTATATGGGATCCGAACCCTCGGCGGGAGCGACACCACGCTCCCAAGCGCCGCACTCTACCGAGTGCGCCACCGGGCCGGCCTGCCTTACACTATTTTTAAAGCCTCTAAACTATACCTTTATAAATCATACATTATATTTTTAAGTAGAAAGGGATACTTTGCCATGTTGCCAGAAACAGAACTCCAGACTGTTTCTTTAAAGTCCCGTATTCCTAGATACTGTGCATTCTTTACATTTCGTGAGAAAAGGGAAACATTCACCTTCTTCATTGCAGTAATTATGGTAAGTTATTCAATGTGCATATGACATCCACT